ATACGCTTTGTCAGATATACAACAACAAACAACAAATAACATTTACTATTACTATATATATATATATATATATATATATATATATTCCTAGTAGACGGGCGAATACATATAAGTAGCCTACCCGTTGTCTCTGCAAGTACTCCTGCTAGACTGTTGCGGATGGTGTCCAGAGGCAGAGCATCTCCGTTGCTGTCGAGAATGTCCATGAAATAAATGCGACAGTTTCGCATCACAGCCAAATGCTTCGCACTGCGATCGGTGAAAAGCTCGTCTCTGTGCAGGAGTGTAGAAGTGTTACATGAGAAGACGTAGGTTACACACTTTACACAATCACATCTCACAGAATAAAACAGCTCGGTCCTGTGTAGGAGTGTAGAAGTGATACATGAGAAGACGTAGGTTACACACTTTACACAATCACATATCACATAATAAGACAGATCGGTCCTGTGCAGGAGTGTAGAAGTGATACATGAGACTGTTTCTCACTTTACTAGCGCATATCGCATATCTACCCATACCTCTACTCAAGAAAAGGCATGCATGCATACACTTAACGATACATTTAACTACCACAGCTCAATACATCACAACACCACACCGTGAACCTACTTCTTCTCGCGGGGCAGGCGTGTGGAGTTGAACAGGCGTCCGTACTGACTCATATCCAAGGGGAAGACACTCTTCGAGAACGCGTACAGAAATCTGAGCGGCCCTATATCTGGGATCCACTTCGCCGTCTCCAGGAAACTGGGGACATCGGACTTCTTTGGGTTCATATGGAAGGCGTCGGGCTTCAGCTGTGGAGGTGTCAAAAACGTGTCATGTCATGGGTGAGAGCTCTGGTACGGAGAGTATTGGCAGTCACTCTGTGGGGAGTATAGGCAGTAGGTATACAGCTGGAGCAGGTTGGCTCCTAGGGCACCTCATAGAATGCGTAATGTTGTAGTAGTAGAGTGTACAATAGGGGCCGAGAAATCAACGACGGAGACCTCCCGTACTTGAACTAGGAACGGCAACCCGGTTTGGGGTACAAGCTATATGTAGGTATGTGTAGGTATGTGCTGGTGTGTGTAGGTATGTGTAGGTATGTGTAAATATGTTTAGGTGTGTGTAGGAATGTGCAGGTATGTCCTGGTGTGTGTAGGTAAGTGCAGGTATGTGCTGGTATGTGTAAATATGAGCTGGTGTGTGTAGGTATGTGCTGGTATGTGTAGGTATGTGCTGGTGTGTGCTGGTGCGTATAGGTATGTGTAGGGATGTTTAGGTATTTGTATGTATGTGTAGATACGTGTCGTTCGACATGAGGTGGTATGTGTAGATACCATATATATATATACTAATAAACATATACATATACATACATATATATACACACACTTATATATATATATATATATATGTGTGTGTATATATATGTATATATAAAAATAATATATACATATATATATATGTGTGTGTGTGTGTGTGTATACATATATATATATATACATATGTGGATATATGATTATTATTTATATACATATATATATATATATATACATACATACATATATATATATATATATATACATACATACATATATATATATTGTGCCCAACACGTTGCGAAGTATGCAAGTAAATACAAGCCGACACTCGTATAACCACATCAAACACCATGCATATCCAAGTACTTTGCTCGCATCCAGCGTAAACATGAAGCGGATGGCACTGTTAACCATAACAGTGGCTCTGTCCAACTGGCTCATGTTCTTGCCACTTGGGTCGTCGTTGAATGCCACGTACGGGTTAGAGTGTACGGCAATGGGACTAGGGTCATTCAGGTACTTGTCAAACCACGCCTTGGTCACATAGCTTGTGTGTTTGTTGGCCTGTGGAGAGAGAGAATACGTGTCAGAGAGGTGAGATTTACAGGTGTGCGCGTGTATGGGCGGTGTGTGTAACCAAATGTGGTGTGGAGAGGTTCAGTAGTGTATGCGTGCTATTATGGGTGTATGGTTTTAGGGTTTTAGTTTTTGGGGTTTTAGAGTTTTAGGTTTTTTGGTATTAACCATTTATACTCTTATTTATATTTATATTTAACCATTTATATATATATCTATATATATATATATATATATTATATATATATATAAATAAATATATATAAAAATAATAAATATAACACTATATATATATATATATATATATATATATATATATATATATATAATAATAATAA